TGGCATGTGGGAACCTTGCCGTAGCACAAAAGCACAGGGCGGAGGCCTGTAGTTGGGGGAACCAGCCAAGAGCTGGCAGAGAAGCCCGTTGCAATGCAGATGGCTGGGGCTCTGGTTTTTGTTTTGCTTTTCTGACCGTAAAAGCTGTGGAAGGCCGAAAGAGTGACAGCGCAGATCTACCCAGTGCAGCATTTGCAGCCATCATTGCTGAAGGGGGGGGGGGGCAGAAAGGAAAGCTGAGGTGTGGGACGTGAGCGCAGACTAGTGCTGACTTTGATGTGCTGCAGCTGATCTAGACGGGACACGGAATTAATTTCAATCTCAGCACAGCTGAAAAGAGAGAAAAATCGTATCAGAGTTGAAGCTTTATTCCATCTTGCAATGCTGGAAAAAGAACATAAACGGACTGGGGACAAACGAATTTATGCTCAAATTCTGGCGGAAAGAAAGATCTTAGAATCTATTGAAGTCTCTCAGATACAGAAGAACCTTTTATTCTTAAAACAGCGCTTTTGGCAAACAATCTTCCAAAAACATCAAAATATTGGCTTGGAGGGTTAAGGAAAAGAAAAATTCATCGCAAGTAAAGGCTCTTAGTTCTGTCCAGATGGCATTACACAAAATCTTCCTTCAGAGATTGCTCACACATTTGCGGCTTATTACAAAAAGCTGTACAGTTCTAAGAACCCACCCTTAGAGGCCATTCAGAAATACCTAGAAACTACGGACTGTTACAAACATCTTTCTCAGGATCACACATCATTTATGGACATACCTTTCACAAAGGAGGAATTACAGAATACTATGAAATCTCTGAAACCCAATAAAGCCCCAGGGATGGATGGCCTCCCCGGGGAATTTTACAGGACTTTTCAATCTTCATTACTAGATCATTTGTTAAAGGTCTACTGTTGATGTATGTTGAAAACTTTGTTGGTGATTAACTGGCTGGTTTGTAATTTTGGATTCTCAGGACTTTTGTATACTGTTTCACAGTTACTGTACATGTTATAAGTTATACTTGATCTTAATACACATTTTAAAAACCAAAAAAAAAAAATAGACGGGACACGGAATGAGGCAGTCGAATTAGGGACTTGCCATTTCAGATGGCAAGTGGAAGCATTTTTGAATACTTCCCCACACTGTAAAAAAAACACACAACCACCTCCATCCACGTTTAAAAAAATCCCAAACTGGTCCATCTAAGGAGAAAGCTAACCTAAATGCTTATTTGGGGACCCATTCAAAAACTTGACTCCCTGTCTTGAGTAAGAGAAGAGAAGAAGAGAAGAGATTCGGTTTATACCCTGCCCTTCACTACCCAAGGGAGTCTCAGAGCGGCTTGCAATCTCCTTTCCCTTCCCCTCCCCACAGCAGACACCCTGTGAGGTAGGTGGGGTTGAGAGAGCTCTCTCTGGAACTGCCCTTGAGAGAACAGCTCTGAAAGAACTTGTGACTGACCCAAGGTTACACCAGCAGCTGCATGTGGAGGAGTGGGGAATCAAACCCGGTTCTCCCAGATTAGAGTCCGTGCACTTAACCACTAGACCAAACTGGCTAGGTAGGTAGTTACCCAGGACGAGGTATTGCAAGTTGCAGAATGTCTATGAGTTGTAGCTGT